GAGAAATCCTGGAGAGGCGGAATGTGATACCTGTCTGGGACAGTAATGGCGTTCAGCCCCCGATAATTCCCAACAGGTCTCCAATCATCAGATTGGTTCTTCTGAACCATATGTAAGCATGATGCCCGCATACTTCTGGAAGGGCGTGTTATTTGCAAATGTAACATATGGTCGAATTCGGCCTTCTCTACGGAAAGTTCATCAAGCGCTAATCGCCGTAGTCGCTGAACTCTCGGACTACATGCTGTCACTATGCTGTGAACGATCTCATGCTTGATATTACCAGGTTGGTATCCGGGCTTCGTTATGGTGGTACCTTACTGCAACAGATCCAAGGAAATTAGAAGGGACAGAGGTGGGACAAGGTGCGGACTCACAGATATACTGAAACTTTGGAACCCAGTCTATGATAGTTGCCTTAGGCCATCGATGGTTTGACAGCGTTTGGAAACCACAATAATGCCATGTTGCTGAAAAAATTGAGACCTAGAATTGCAGTTGGCACTTTAGACATAATGAAACTTCAAGGAAAAGGCCTACGGTGACCAAGGTACAGCGTGATCCAACGTTCTCCATCTTATCTGAATGGCGTGCATTTTACTGTCTGCAGGCTGTATACCGAGCAGTGATTCAGGTTCTCCGGGTGTGGGGGAACCACACTGGCTTGAGCACTAGTGTCTGTGAGGAAGCACATGCCAGATCTTACGTCCAACAAGTAAAAGAGTCGACCTGGTTCACATATGCCAGCTAGCATCGTCGCCAATAGGAGCTGGCGTGTTCCTTTCCAATTTGGAAACTCGACACGGCTTTATGCATTTTTGAGCCTTGTTACGAAACTACTGTGGTACCAGCAAATGCCACTAGAATGACTAACTCTCCGAGTACCCCATTTGTTAGATCGAGAGTTGCTCCTTCGTATGACGATGGCAATGGAAGCCAGTTGTTATTACAGGGAGCGCACGGCTTTCACGAGTGAGTCATCAGATGTACGACACGATAAAGTTAAGATCTCCATTATTTTATCAGCCATAAAGGCCAAGTTTTTATTTCGGTATCCTGATGACCGTTAATCAATATTGGTTGTACATGTGTAGGACGCCGTGCTGTAAATAGCTGCTTAGCAATGAAATTCTCTGGAAGGATGTCACCTACCAGAGTTTGTATGACTCGCAATAGTTGCGTGGGGTGCGATCGACTAATTGCTCTTCAGTAAGTAGGCGTTACATTCTCTTACGCTCACTAAGACTAAGGTCGCGAACCAAGAAGTCACGTATTTGTTGGTACGCAGAGCTTCTTTTTAGGATATCCTGTGCCAGGAGCAATAATTCTAGTGAGAGTCTGGAAATTACATGATGAACATTTAAGGCATTATTATGCAAATGATTAATTTCGTAACATGGCCTGACGAAACCAAAGCTGGGGAAACTGTAACCAAAATGTTTGTAAGCAACTAGTGGATACGTTATGAAGTTCCCTTGGTTGCTGGTCGCGCATGTTCGCACACAAAAGTGATAAAAATGACGGAAGTGGTGACAACTCACCGGATAATGTGGGCTTTGTCCGAATCACCGAACTCACATTCCTAGAGGTCTCATTGTTGAACTTGTGAGGTAAGTCTATCTTTTCTGTGAGACCAAATGTCACCGTCGAACGTCTATAGTCGTCAAACCAAACACAGTACTTCTATAGGTTTTAAGTTTTGACTAAGTGCCTCTCCTCTCCATCCTGAAGGTTGAAATAAGCCAACAACTTTTAGGAAAGCGTCTATGGTTGCACTAAAGCATGACAACTCAGAAATAAATCCGTCATTTTGTGTTGATAAACGTAACTCTTGTTTGAGAAATCACAACGTGTTTAGGTTCAACTTTGGACTGGATAGGTTACACCGGTTAGGGTACCTTAACGTTCGTATGTGTACTTTATTACATCGTACATAATTCTACCAATAGAAGAGAGTTCATAGTGGACATCAGATATAGAGGCAGAATGCCACAACATTTGAAGAAAAAAAGTTAAAAGAAAGGTGTACTTAGAGAGGTAGTGTGTCACAATAGGTCCACTACTAAAGAACATTTCCCATCCGGTGTGCTCGTGGTGGTCCTTGCACTTCCAACCGAGGATTCGACGGAGCAAATGTCGTGCGTTGATCACACATCACGTTGCCGATTCTAACCGAATTCAGGGTACGCATAAAAACAGCACAACTAGACGACCGGTGAACAGGAATACGAAGCGTGTCCAATACACCGAGGCATGTGCAGTGCACTTATGTGGCGCTCTGGAGCATCTGTCGTTGTTAAAAATTTATTGATGAACACCAGCATTACAAACGTGAGGTTGTCATGGTATATAGATAATGTTTCGAAAGCAGCGGTGATCAAAAACAGCCTCTGAATACTTAAGTGTGTGAATGGAGCGTTTTGCAACAAACTAGAATCGCTTGCACAGCAACAATGTAAACTTGGCTTTTGAGTAGCTCAGGTCACGTCGGCACCAGAGATAAAAGAGATTCGTAAAAGTAATCCAGATGTTAGAAATAAGCAAAGAAATTTTGCCCGTCACACAATGTTAAACGAACTTGTCGGCCACTGCTGACGAGCAACATAGGATAGTGAGGATAGCAGCACATCTTAGCTCAAGGAGGTCGTAAGATATAGAGTCGAACGAAGGTGAGAATTTTACCGATTCCATCGCACGAGAAGAGGATGAAACCCCTAAAAAACAAACGCAGTTGGCTGACGCAGATGTTCTAGCCACCTACTGACGGGCGCCATCTGGCCGATGATCGAATGGATAAGACGTCATGTTTGTGCTTCTCAGGCCGCCGACTTGAGCTTGCAGCACAAGTGCGAATGACCTCTGATCATTCATAACCCGCACGCGACTGGTGGTGGTGTCGTGGCAATGAAGTGTCCGTAAAAGATACAGGTGGGTTGCTGGTGTTTTCTCTTTTTTCGTACACCGAATGAACACGAGAAATTCCAGAGATTAGGTCAGTTGCGTAATGGTTTTTGAGAAGCTTGAAAAAATGCTGGCCCAATCCCATTTACGATCCACGTCAGTTTGCTTATAAAAGTTCAAGGTCCACACACAAGGCACAATGGCTCGTCTAGTGCATTCAGCGTTGTCGTCACTAAACAATGAGAACAAATCCACAAGTACATCAAAATATATCCGTCCTAACAGTTTCTAAATGCTGTGTCGTACATAGCTACTGTTAGTGGACGTCGTCTTTCGGGGCCAACCCTGTCCTCTGCAACGTTCGTAACTTGCATGGCAGTAGAGGATGAGACGCGTTATATCACAGTTCGCTTGTAAATCATGACGGTCCGAAGCTGTCCCCCGTGGCCCAGTGGCACAATCTGTTGACTGGCGGTTCAAGCCGCTGGTGGTCATGGGTTCGTATCCTGATGGATCCGATAGATGCGCACTACTGATGATGCCCAACAGGCTGAAATTGCAGCCTAGTGTTTTTCCGGGCATGTGGACGACCATCTGATTTGGAAGCTGGCTGTGATGAACCTCAATTATCTATATCAAAATCCCCTACTCATGAGTGCATCAAAATCCACAAGTGTCTGCTTCATCGACTATAGCAACGCTTTCCGCTGTGTTAATAATGAATTGCCGTTGCAAGATCTACACACCTCTGGTATATAACTTTCCTTAGTCTTCTTGATAAGGTATTAGTTCGCCAAATGTACTCAGGTCAACAGGTTCGGCGGCAAAAGCTCCTCGCCACTTGCCACAACTTTCGGTGTCCCTCGAGGAGCCAGTTTGTCACTATTCTTATCCACTACCCATGTCAGCTCTGTACCAGTCTATGATGATATAATCGTTGGCGCAAAGTATCCAATGTCAACCTTTTCAACCAAACTGCAAGTTGTTTGGATGCACTGGCGCAATGGTCAAAATCCGGCTGCTTGATGCTGAACACATTCAAGCGCAATGACATTCTGTTTTCACTTCATAAAGCAGGCAAGTACCAAAAAGTTGTCACGGGCTGTCCCAAATTTCAGATCGGTGATGACAGCCTGAATTTATCTACCTCAGTAAAGCATATTGGATCAACATTGAGCTATTTATTATTTGTGGTCACCCTACCTGAACGAAATGTTCACCAGTCAGGCAATCTTCGTTTTACGTCGCACGATTGCGATTCTCCTCCGTAATGCACAAGTTGATTCTGAAGTTCTCCAATGCATGCATTCTGTCACACTGGACTTACTGCTCTGCTGTGGTGTTTCTAGACCTATTGCATTTTGAGCTGTTGACGGGTCGCTAAAGCACTTATCTCACTGCAGTGGCCTTTCGAAGCCAACTATGACTCAAACAATTGTATGTACGCACGTTACTTCTTGCACAAGCTTGTTACCAAATTAGTAACTGACATTAGCCACTCTCATCACAGTGCACTCTCCAACTGTATGTCGACCTCGCCGACCAGATGAAGGTACAGAACAATATACGCCCGCACTTGGGCGTATGGCTATTCGGTCATTTTCTATTTAGCCAGCTTTCAACTTGACCAAAACGCTATTATCCAACAACTGATCGGGAAATTTTATCAGGTAGGTTATTTTTTCGTTAAACTTTTCATTTGCTGCTGTTTTTCCGCGATCACATTAGTATCTTTTACCATATCGATAGCATGTGTGCTACAGCTGAAAATTCACGTTATAGGTGAATAAAAGAACTTGTTTAACTTGACTCGAAAGACCGCGTTCTCTGTCTGTCACAAAGATGAAGTAATAAGTAAACGGATGAGTCTTCCCAAAGATAAAAAAGCCAAAAAGAAAGGCAAATCAAGTGAAACCGTGGAGGTGGAACGTGCTAACCGACACAAAACGAGGCTCTACAACTCGATGACCACTTGTGGCTCCATGAGTTAAGATCAGTTGGCAAAGTCGACAGCAAATTAACATTTTTGCAGCGCTGGAAGAGGGTAGCTAGGTACGGAGTGACTTCTGAAAAGTAATAGCAGATTTCGTGGATCGATGTCAGGAAATAGAAAATAACGAAAACCTGTTCGACTTACCGGGGTCCCCGACAACGTCGGTCATAAGGGGGTCCGTGCTGTTTAAATCTGCCCTAAATTCGTCCAAATCTTGGGATGTTCCCTGAGAAGAATTGTCGAGGGAGGAGGGTGAAAGAGAGTCTCCGGTTGGGTAGTTCGATTGGGACACAACTAGCGGATGAGAGTTCAGAAAGGCTGAATGCGGCTGCGGCCTATTTGATCCTTCACACACAACATCGTGATGAGATCCACGAAACTCAACCGGAGGATTGCTACGTGTCCACAACACAGAGGATTTATGATGTAAAGCAGGAGAGACTGTAGTGGTCGTGATGGGCAGAAAGCTCTGACCGACACTGAGTGCAACGGAATTGCGGCCACGAGGAAGCGTAAGGAGGGAATATTGTCTCCACGGCTCCATGGACATAAAAAGCTCTGGGCAAGCAATGAAACAATCACCAGATGAAGACTGTTCCATTCTCTGAGAGGAATCAAGCAGACCATGATTCTGAGCGCGAAAAGGATTTGCAATTGATACATTCGTGGGGCACCTGAGCAAGCTGTTTTGAGTCAGTTCGTTGGGAGCGGGACCGAAGTCAAACATGATAGATTGGGTACAAATTTGCAACCTAAGAAAGAAAGATAAAATGGTTAGCGCAAACTTTGGGTTACTTCACAAAATAACGCTAGGGCACCGCTGTGTTCAGCATATGACGAATACATTGTGACGGAGGAAGAGTTGCACATCACGTTATGTAATGCATGCGAGGCGGATTCGGTTAGCCGGTCCGGGGGACAATTGGTTCAAGTATCTGTAAGTCGCTGGTTCGAGCTTGAAAAGGTGCGGGCGACTTTGTAGCGCCCATGAACCACATGCGACTATTGTTGGTCAGTTCAATTCAGTTGAACAAGTATAATCCGAGCACCGAAGTGCAGTGGATCAAGTTGCTATGATTCACATCGTAAGAATAACAATAAAAAACAACGATAAGATAGTGGGATTGAATGCAGATAGAATGTAAAGAAAATGGAAGTGAAAGGGAAGTGCGTTAAAATAATTAGGATGGAACGAAAATTAACAACTAGATAGAAGAAACCGAAGGCAGGAAAGTCACTAACTGCGCGACTGCGACATATTTGATACGGTCTTCAACCATTGGTGTGGGCCATCCCGAGGCCCCCAATAAGGAAGACCTGACCAAGTCTCTCAGTCAATTTCTTCATGTCTCTATGCCACCTCATCGATTGGTCACCTCGCGGTTTCACCCAAATCGGTGCAGCCACGAGGTACAATGCACACCGACGAAGCAGATCAATGAGCATACAGAGGACATGGCCAAGCCAACATAAGCGATTAAGATGTTGTAAACACTCAAGTGAGACACCAGAAAGCTTATTGCCAAAAACCAACTGGCGGACCTCAGCATTGCTTACCTGGTGTTCTCACCAAATGTGAACAATATTCCGTAAGCACCAGTGGTCAATCACGGTGATGCGTTTAATGTCTTCGCCGCGAACTGGCCAGATCTTAGATCTATACGTTAATCCCAGCCTAAGCGCAGCGTTATAATCCAACCTTTCACTGACAAGCTGATATCCTGTCATCGCCACAGAAGGTTGAGTCTCTGGAGAGCCACACAGGCCTTACTGATACACGAAGTAACTTTCTCAATGATGTGACCACCGGAGGTGACATAGCTACTAAGGTAAGTGAACCTATCCACCACTTCCAGTGGCTGTTCGGAAATAGGTAGAACTGGAGGTGTGTCGGTCCAGTCCTGCGATAGCACTTTTAAGTTGCAAAGCACATGCCGAAGCGTGCAGCGCTACGCGTCAGTCTATCCAGTGGTGTTTGCATAGCCAATGCATCAGACCCAAGAAGAACTACGTTATCCGCATACTCTAGGTTTGTCAGCCGATCACCGGGCAGAACTCCCATTCCAGTAGAGTTTGACAGAACAGAGTCACTCATGATTATTTCGATCATAGGTTGAAGAGGAAAAGAGATTTAGGATAATCCTGGAAAACTCCACTTGTCATAGGGAACTCAAGAGAGAAGTTTCCGTAGACTTTTACATGACCTCGGGAGCCACGGTAGAGACTGCATAATGGAAAGTAATTTAGCCGGCCCGCCCTTCATGGGTGGGCAATGCCACAAGCTGGTGCGGTCAACAGAGTCGAAGGCGGGTTTCATGTCAAGGAAAACCAACATAGTCGGTCGTCTGTATGTGTCTTTGTTTTAAAACTTGGCGAAGAGTAGATAGGTAGTCGACACAACCAAGATCAGGGCGGAAACCAGCCTAACTTTCAGTATTTGGTTCTCACGGGGATTACTGTCGTCGAAGAGTGGTACCCGTTGGAAATTCGGAGGCAATAGAAAGAAGGCTAATGTCCCTATGACCTCATGTAAAGTGCGCTGACCCTTCACGAAGATGAGCACGACAGTTAACAGTCGCCAGTCTGAAGGCACCTCTTCAGTGTTCTAAATCGTGTTACATAGAGAAGCAAGTCCAGTTAACCAAGAGTCACTTCCATTGTTCAGCTAAGATAGAGGAAGGTTGTTAAGTCCAGGAACCATGTTCCGTTTCAACACGGAGACCTCATGTCGAATCGCTTCCAAAGTGGGTGGTGTAACAGCTGCTATCCACGTCGGCCCTGATGATTCAGCAAGCGGCAGTGTCGCAGCTGGTCTGCTGAAATGCTCTTCAAAATGTTCCGCCCAACGGGCCAGTCGATGAGGCTAAGAATCAACTGTCCGTCTTTCTCAGCTATCGTCTCACTAACTGATGATTTTCTCGGATACGTGTTCCGGATGAGCTGGAATAACCCTCGGCTGCCCTCAATAGCACGGTTACGTGGCGGCAAAGCATTGTTACGACGACGTATCGGCGTACTGTTGATGAACGCAGCTCGCTGTCACCCTGAGTAAAGCGGGCTGATGCATCCCCGTCGTGCGGTTGCACAGTGCAAAAAGACACAGGGGAGTGAAAAACGCACGTTGAGTAGGACTAACGGACACTGGTTAGGTATCGCGTTACGATAGCGGCAGGTAAGGAGCCCCAACAGACATATTGGACCTAGATGAACTTGGTTAAATTCAGAGATAACCGCCCAAGAAGCCGAAATAAGCGGGTATTCTTGCTTCCCCTGTGATAGGCCATCAAATGATCGCGTTGGCGTGCTGCTATACATACGGTCTTCCTTGTGCGGAAGACTTGTGAGCATCTACAGAAGCGGTGATGGTCTGTGGGAGCAGCCATGATGTTCGATCCACCTGAGACGCGGCGAACTCCCCGTGGGTGTTGTGCATCGCAGTTCACTGGGCAGCAGCTTGGACTGGTCGCCTCATGTGTGCAATCATATGAGTCGTCCGTAATTCCTAATCATGGGCGATTTCAACCTTCCTCGAATACGGTGGCCGAGGTCGAGCTTCTCTCTAGCCACTGCGAGGTCGAGACGAAGTTTGCGGAGATGATATTTAAAACTGGGGCCCCACAGCACATCACTCAGCTGACGCGCATTATCGCGCGCTCGACTCCATCATGTCTTGAGCTGTTGCTGACCAGCTACGATCAATATGTGTGATGTTCAGGTCCTAGAGCCCCTGGCAGCTAGTGATCATTCGATGATCATGGCGAGCTTAGAGTTGCCACTGACGTTTACTCCTCCGCTGGAGCCAACCATCAACTACTGGAAGGCGGACCTACCACAAGATTCATCAGTTGAAGCATGTTGGTCTACCATAAAAGAGGGAGTAAAATCATTGTACGCCTGCTTTGTGCCCCTCAAAGATCGGAAAGCTGGACCAGTCAAAGCACACTGCTTTGACAAGGAGTACAGGAAACTGGCTCGACGGCGACGCCAGCCATGGGATAAATTAGTGCAATCTGGTTTTACCGATGATTCCAAGGCGTACAAGAGGCAACGAAATGCCTGCAACAGCACGTAAACAAATTAACGGCGAAGCTTCAAACAGCAGTTTAAAACCGCAGCAAAAACAGCTCCCAAGAGGATCAGTGCATATGTGAAGCGACGCCTGAAGCCGACTGGTGATGTGCTTGTGTTGGAGGGCTTGGACGGACAGCCATTAGTTTCAGCACTGAGCATGCTTTTGCATTGGCTGCGCACTTCGCTTCCGTTTTTGTAGATAACCAGGTGTTCGTACCGAGTTTGATGCATATCGCCCCTACCGACCTGGACAGCCTGGATTGCAGCGTTGAGGATGTGCGCAAATTGCTCGCCAGTCTTGACGGTACCAAGCCTGCCGAGCCTGACGGGTTCCATCCGTTGATCCTCAAATCGCTATCGGCAATCATCACGCCTTCAGTGACTGGACTCTTCAATAGGTCACTGTCCGCCGGTTCATTACCGAGCGACTGGAAATGCTCAGCGGCGAAACCGATTCCGAAAGGCGGCGATCCGAGCAAGGTGGACAACTACCAGCCGATATGTGTGACCTCTGTTTTGGCTAAGACACTCGAGAAGATCGTGAAGCGTGGACTCGGCAGCATCTCGAATCGAAAAGCTTCTTGACGCCCGCGCAGCACGGTTTCATGAAGTCGGTCATGCATCACAAACCTGCTACTCCCGAGGCACGAATGGTTGCAAGCGCCAAACCAAGGGAAGTCGGTTGACGTAATTCACATTGACTTCAGTAAAAGGTTTGATAAGGTGAACCATGAGATCCTCCTTCGGAAGCTGAAGATGTGTGTTGGTGGCTCACTGCACCAGTGGATCCGTGACCTTGTTGGTCGGACGTGGAGGGTGCAGGTGAGCAACCACCTGACCGAGTGGTATCCCTCGACCAGTGGCGTCCCGCAGGGCACAGTCCTTGGGCCCATTTTGTTCCTTATCCACATCGACGATTTGCCATCGCAACGAGACTGGATCTTAACGTGGCGTGACGGTTTGTGTACCCCTGTGACCCATTGAGCTACGCTGGATGGCACTTTCAAGTGCCTTCAGTGTCATTCATACCAGACAGGTCAATAGTTAGGGGTCAGACTAACTCAGTCTCACATTCGCCCCGCTGAGTTGCGGGCAGACTATTGAGCCAAAAGCTCGGGATAGAGTCCCCTAAGCCAACTCCCTCTTCGGCTTGGGCAACCGGGTAGTATCACCCCCACTGACAAAACCATGGACTATGCAACTGCAATATCGCTCTCAGCTACTTTCGCTCCTGTTAGTCACGCACCTTCACAGAACATCTGTTCATTTGTTACTAATCAGTATTATCCGTTAGCAAATGACTCGTTTCCATTATTCTACTCCGGATTGTGTCGTCGACACAGAGAAGTAAAACACTGGGTCATCTTCAGCCACTTGATCAAAGCAGAAAAGACATAGATTGCGATATGTCAACATCTCGATTGTTCTCCTCAGTCGCATATACAATACCAACAGAAACACACAAATAGATACATGATCTGCAGCTTGAAATTTGAGGCTTTTACTGCAAAGTTCTCCGTCGTACGCGAATGAAAACAGTTCGTAGCCTACAGAGTTCGCTTACAGGGGATACACATGCTTCCCTCTCTATTGATAACTCGAAGCACGTATATAAGCTATCATCTGCTCAGTTCACTCGCCCGCAGTTGGAAGTGC